CTGCCTTTTTGTATTCCAACATATCACACAAATTTCAAACAGTTGTGTGCTTTTTATATTGTTTATATTATCATCTCCACCTTCCTAGTCAAGATTAATAGAATCACTCAAGAAATTGATACATTCACAAGTAAAATATTGTGTCAACTTCACATTGATTTTACCCTTAAAATATCTAAAGACCCTTTTCAAATATTGCCAAAACTCTTTATTATTCTTGTTTTAATACCTGCTCAAAATATTAACAGTGGTACTTAAATCAGGCTTGATATACATAACATAATATACATTAAACAGACGATTAGATTCCGGTAAGGGCTATCATGTTCTACTTCTGAATTTAAACCAATCAAATTCAGTTTACTAGGAAGTGGAGTGCTGACACAGCTGATGGCACAACAGTCATTCATATTAAATTTATGTAAAATAGTTTTCATGTACATTTGAACTGTACCTATATGAAAATTGATCAAGAGTAGATAATTTTATTTTTATTACCCAAAAATAGTTTACTGTCTTTCAAATAAAACATAGAACAGTTATTTGCCAAATCCCTTTTTAAACTATTCAATGTATTATTATCTGCAGTGGCAAATACCATCTACAGAACTACATAAATAATTTTACATATTGCACCTTTGTCTAAGATATAAATACAGTGGTTAACTGATGAATTTTCAAACCCATTTTCTTTATGAACTTTTACTATTATTGCAAACTAACATCTATACCTTTTCAACTTCAAATTGGGACTAAGCAACTCCAAATTGGGAACTAACAATATCAAAGAATTAACAAAATCCAATTGGAAATAATCATATTTAATTTGGTATTAATCAACTTCAAATTGGGATTAATCAATTTTGATTTGGAAAGAAACAAATTCAAATTATGGGAAAGAATTGCTTGTGAACAAAATTCATATATTAATGAATAAGAGGACTTTGAAGTCTTTGAACAGTAATAAAATGACATTTTTATAAAGTTTGTGAGGCATTTGCGGTCCGGGTTAATTGATGAAATATTTTCATTCGAGCTTAATGGCCGTCCGAGTGGCCGTCGTAAGTTGAAATTTCTTCCTTACCATTGGCTAGCACGCGTGGCTAGCATCTTCAGAGGTGCCTCCATGTCCGATTCTGGTAGCAGTCTGCTACCAGACGTCAGAAAGAAATTTTAACTTACGACGGCCATTAAGCCCGAAATTTGTCTAAATTTTTCTTTCATTTCAGCGTAATTTCAGGATTTTCCTCTATGTTTCCAGTCATTCATACTCATTGAACTTTTATACCTTTATGTTCTTCTGAAATGTTTGCTTTTCTCTGTCCCCCATGTTTCCTTCGAACAACTTTTTTACACATCGATTAGCTAAAGTTTTTTTTATACCGAGTGTGTTATAGCCAATCCTCTTCAGTCACCTTTGTTATTTAAAATAGCACAATATTTGCTTTCCAGCATTTTCTGCATCAGGTGCCTTAATTTTATTAATTTAATATACGGTTTAAACGCGTAACTGCCGTTTGACTTGCAAAACTTTAAAATTTATTCAACAATTCCAGTTTGAAGTTGATTAGTACCAAATTTAAATTGTTCGTTCCCAATTTGTCTTTGTTTATTCCCATTTTGAACGTGTTAGTTACCAATTAAAAGTTGATTAATCCCAATTTGAAATTGCTACGTTCCAAATTGAAATTGATTGTTCCCAATTTGAAGTTGAAAAGGTATAGTGGTTTGTTTTAGTTCATAGATACAAAGCCTTGCAAACTTGGTTAGGAGGTTTACTTGTCACACCTTGAGCCAGCTACCCTTCAGCCTTCAGGAACCTTCATAAAAATGGCTTCCTTCAATGTACCATCCGGAAAAGCTGTTTTTACATCCATATGTTGTATTAAAAGGATAAACTGATTAAAAACGTTATTATAAACCAGAAACCTACGATTCTCGCCACCTGTGCAAAGATTTCATTATAATCTACCAAGTAATGTTGACTTAAACCACGAGCATCTAAATGGTTTTCCAATTTCATCATTTTCAATGGAAAATATCCATTTACAATCCACTATATTTTTATATTCGGGTCTTGATATTAACGACTACGTTTTATTTACCAATAATGAGTGAATCAATATCATTTGGCAGATCTGTTTTAATCACAGATTTACTATACTCATTATTTAGTTTAATGAGTTTATTAGGGTTAACATTTACCTACTTTCTTGAATTGTTACTCATCTGATTTAGCTATATCAGATTTAATAATTAAACCACTGATCTTGACAAATTGCCACTTTCAGGAGAAAGGTTTTATTAGACTATCCAAGATGCTGTCGAACTCAAATTAAAATGTCCGCCAAGAGGCACACAAACCCTTTGTTTGCTTGTCAAAGTCACGTGTTTTGGATAGGCTAATTACCAAAGTGTTACATTAATTTTTGACACTTTTCCAGTTTAGTTCAGTTCAGTTCATTAATAACTACTGATCTTGACAAACAATCAGAGGAAACAGCTTTATCATCAAAGTGTTTCACATTCACTTTTTCATAATCACTATCAACTACTAATATTGACTTACTCGAAACTCTGATTGAAAATCACTGAATAGTTTATTTCTATCTACCTATAAACTCAATAAGTTGCATATACACCATTTTCTCCAAAATTTTGTCAATAGTGCAAAACAAATTTATTGGATGCAATTCAATGGAGGATTTTAATTTAACTACTTTGGGAATCGTGATTATAGTGGAAACTGAATGAATATCATTTGGCAGATCTGTTTTAACCACAGATTTACTATAATCATTCATTATATAGTTTGATAAGTTTGTGGGTTAACAGTTAGCTACTTTCTTGGATTGGTTGGTCATCTGATTTTGCTTTTTCAGATTTATTAACCAGCAATCTTGGCAAACTGTCAAAGGAATCAGTTTCATCACCAAAGTGTTATGCATTCACTTTTTCAGACATCATTAACTAACCACTGATATTGACAAACAGTCAGAAAAAATTGGCTCTATGACCATAAAAGTTAAACATTTACTTTTCAAGCTTATTAGTTACTACTGATTTTGACAAACAGTCAGAGAAATCAGCTTTTACAAATAAAGTGTTCTATTCAGTTTTTCAAGGTTGTTAGTAATTACTGATCTCGACAAATAGTCAGAGGAATCAGCTTTATGACCATAAGTGTTCTGCATTTACTTTTTGAAGTTTATGATTAACTACTGTTCTTGACAAATAATCAGAGGAATCAGCTTTATAATCAAAGTGTTCTACATTCACTTTTTCAAGCTTATTATTAACTACTGTTCTTGACAAATAGTCAGAGGAATCAGCTTTATGCAGATTAATAGGCTTGGAGGACAAAAACCAATTTTTTATGTCCACAACAATATCCCTAACTAGGACAAACTTATGATTATATACATCCCACACTTCATATTTATTTGGTTCATAACCAACCAGTACAGCTTTCCAGGATTTGATATCAAATTTTGTTTTCCTGGTTTTTATGTAGGACTTATAAACGGTATTATGGAACCAAACACTTATGAATATTTTACTTGAGGCTTTTTACTACGCCACATTTCGTATGGTGTTTCAAATTCTTTTAAAGTTTTAGAGGGGTCAAACTAAGTGAGAATGCTGCAGTTAAAACTGCCTCCAACTTTTTTTTTTTTTTTTAGCATAAAGCCTTTTGTTTCTTTTTAGTTTCAAATTTTCCATTGTCACATTAAACACTCCCGGTTTTCACAACCGCAATGAATACACGTACACTGGTCCCATAACCCTTTCTTAAGTAAACGATTCCTCATCTGTTTATCTTACATATAAAAACTATTATTCAGTCATCCTTAGCTGCGATATAAACTAGCAAAGTATAGGCTAATAATCAAAGTTTAATTTATTAATTTTTGTTTCACTGATATAAATATCAGTTTATCCAACAGGTACTGAGATAAATGTTGACTTTTCCCTTTCGAATTTATTTTTCAAAATATCTAAACCTTCAATATGTAGATACATATATTAATGACTCCTTCCTCAGTAAAAATCCAGATTGCTCACACTCGCTTGGATATCGATATACAAGTTTTCCAAATAAAAATCGCCACATTCACACAAAACTAAATAAGCTGTGACTAAATTTTATGCAAGTTTCCTTTATTATCAGCAAAAAATTTTAAACCCTATATCATCAATATTCTTTCACCCTTTGTGTATCATTATCACGTGCGAATTCCTGGAAGCAAGCAAAGTCCTTTTCGGTTTGAAAATAAACACCAAGTTTCCTTGAAAAGCGGATTAATATCGAAAAGGGAAAAACTGTACATAAAATAAAATTAGGTCGTTGTTATTTTGTTTATTAATAAATGAATTTTTCTTAAATTGAGTCCTCAGGTGCGTAAACACAAACTTTCTGCAAATTAAGTCCAATTTTGAGAAAATTTGTCGTGTTGGTGATGTCGAAATCTGATTAGAATCGGACCCTGTGATAAAATATTCTCTAGCAAAGGACCATGTATTTACTTTGGACCCTATTTATGCAACGCCCAACAATGATTGAGAGAATAATTTTCGTCCATAACAATTTCACACAACAAGATAAATAATGTGACTAGCACGTCTATAAACATTTAAGTAATGTATAAGTAATATGACCACGTTGGTATGACGTCGACTTTTGACTGGAATAATATCAATATTCTTTGGATGTTGCTGCAACGTACATGTCGTATTGTGAATAGGTTAGCATTGAAACTTGGAAACCTCTGGATTTAATGTTTTTCCTTCTGGAAAACAGGCAAATTTGAAATGTCCACAATCCATTGTAGAGGACTGAAGAAAAAATATACTAAAAAATCAAATTATGTCATATCTATCATTATTATGAATTTAGCTTAGTAGGTGTCCCAAAGCGACAGAAACTCTAAATTTAATGTTGCAGCCATTATGAGAACTAAATAGCATAGAATATCAATAATGTTTTTTTTTTTCTATAGACGATTGTTCCTAAAAAACGAACAGCTCTCTTAGTTAACCGTCTAATGGTCGCCCTAAAGGACGCCCTCGAAGAAGAAGACCAAGAAAGAAACGGAAACGTGCCACCCGGTATTTTCAACAACCAAGTTTATTCTGATGACGTTAGAACGGTAAGAAAATGCAATATTAATATATTTTGTATTGCGGTTGCAAGCATACATTTCGCTTTAAAACAATTTATTTTACATTGAAATGTCATAAGGGTTTCCGCATATGCCTTTGAATGTCGCATTCGCTTATTTCACAAATTGTCAGCGTGTGTGTGTGTGGAAACATTGTGATATAAAATTTTTGTTGGAAATAAAGAAAATTACTTAATTAAAGTAAACTGTCTCTACACTTAAAATTCCTTTGATAATAGAGTTTTGCATTCTTGCAGAATAATTCATATGACATTTTTAATTTCCAGATGGATCTGCAACGTAGAGGACACCAAACTTCTTTGACCAACAACGGCCAGAATAAAGCGAGAATCTATTGGCGCTGTTACTTTAACGCAGTAACCTGTTTTTAATCAAAAGAATATCTTAAATTAAGCCTAAAAGCTACTCTAGATTTTTACCAAAAACTTAAAATTATATTTATATATAAGTACGACGTATGTTATAAGAACTTATGTGTGGTACTCTAGTGATTTAAATTATCAATTAATATTGAATATTAACCTCGCCTGCTTTTGAAGCTACTTGAAAACATTTTTTAGGCTAAATTACTATATACCTATTTTATTCAAATCAATCGTACCTATGTGTGGATTTATTATGCATTTTCTAACAAGATAAATTAATATCTAGTTCCTTGCGAGTTCACCATAAAGCACAGTTTTATGCTTCATAAACAATATTTTTCTTGGTGGCTACAATTTTTAATATACAGGGTGTTTTCTAATTGAATGTCAATACTTACTATGGGTCCATTTTCAGAAGAAAGCTTCATATGAACATATGTCCTAAACGTCTTAACTTTTGAGATACAGGATGATAAAGTTTTCAAAAATAAAACTCAAGATATTTTAATGAAATTTTGCTTACATGTACTATGTGTGAAATCCCAAATCGTTTCTAGGCAAAGTTTATCACTCGATTTTTCATAATCCGCTTTCCCTTAAAAAAATCAAAACTGTTTTTCTGCATAATCAAAACAATATCGTTAATATAACTCACCACGCAGAAGAAATAGAACATCCTCTATAGCTTTCACTTCTCGAAATATTATTAGAAATTTATGTATTTTTATTCAAAACCCAAAATATGTTTATACAATCAGGAATAACAAGAAATATAAATAGTCGACAAAGGTTTTTATAAACTCTGACTACTTTTTCCATTTTATGAGAACAAACTATAAACTTGTATTTGTATAAATACGAAATCCTAATGAAGTGGCTGAATGATAAAATAATATTCCTCAAAATATCTTATGTAATTTACTTTAGAATTTAAGATAATAAGTTTGTATTATAGTAATATAAAGTAAATGATCATCCTTAAAGTTTTATTTTGTAAAACTAATTGTTTGTGGTTGAAGCCAGAGGTGTAATATCTAACTAACAAGTGCGGAAAGTTACTTAGAAGTGCAGAAAAAAGACACTTTTTGCATATGTAATTAGATCAAGTAAGTATTTGAGTGATTAGTATATTGTCAGTGTACCTTAGGTATAGAATTTCATTTCAAAAATTTGAGCTATGTTAAATAAAGATAAATTGCTTTTGCTTATAGGTACTGCCTATTGTTATAATATCATGGTACATTATCTCAGAGCTGTCAATATTTGATAGGTATAAGTACTTTAAGTATTTGACTTGAATTTTTTTTTTTTTGTTATGTATCTAGGACTTATACTTAAACTTCCAATATCTATTTTAAAATACTCGGATTTTTCCTTAATTATGTCAAGTATTTTGGTTGAAGTATTTTGAGTACCTACCTACTTATAATAAATAGGTAACTATTTTTACAGTGCACCAAATATCAAAATATGATAAACATGACTGGTACAGTCAAAATTGAGCAAAACTCAAAAATAAAAAAATAGGAGTTTTTCATAACGGTAGGTACCCCCTTTGAATTCTGATTTCAAAATATTCAAACCTCAATTGCTCGGTAACCGTTGAGCAAATTAGGCAATCCAACGACCTGTCCAAATGGCGTCTGGTTGGCAAACAATAAACAAAAAACATATGATTTTTTTTTGGCAGGATTAAGCCTAGTACTAATAACAGCGAAATTCTCTCTTTTTGGACATCACTTCGACAATTTGACGTTTTATGCGTGAATCAAACGTCAAATTGTCGAAGCAATGTCAAAAAAGAGCGGATTTCGCGGTTATGAGTACTAGGCTTTATCAATCTGACACTTTTCCGACATCGTTGACATATAACAAGGGGTATTCTAATCTCATAAAAATTTCAAAATGCCGGCTGGTTGGCAAAAGTCACGTGGTTTGGATTCCCTAATTGCATTGAAATTTTCAGCATTTGTAGCTTTTATCAAGCTCTAGAAGACCAGCAGCGTTGCCAGATTTTGATTTTGAAATTATGGTACATGAAGTTCAAAACTATGTTTTTTGAAAAAAAATTATGGTACACATAATTTTTGAATAAACCTCATTAGAACTGTGACAGTGACAGTACTGACAGTTCTTTTATTGTGACGTGCTATTCGCTGACGTGTATGAGAGTGAGATGGAAAAAAACGTCAATATTGCACTGCGGCTCGGCAACCGATCAACCGTCCACGCAACCGGATTTATGACGTCACGTATAGCTCTCAAACCTCTAAACAGCAAAAACATGAGAAAATAAAAGGAGTAAGTACTATAAAGTTAAGAAAAATACAAAGAGGTTAAAATTATGGTAAATTATGTATTATTGCATTCGCGATTTTACTAAAGTTCATTTCACCAAACGAGATAGTGAAAATAAACAAACTTTGACAGGTAAGTCGAATTTTATTGGGTAGAAAAGGATTATACTCCCCCCTAGGCAGGACCGTCTTAGGTTGTTTTGTATTTGTATTCTCTGAATATCTTTATTTTGGGTCTTCAACGGAATCTGTTGAACTTGATATTATTTCAATCTAAATTGCTCACTAATTAACAATAATTCACCAAACATTATTTATTTTAGGCTCCGCCTGTTTGTTCACCTCTACTATCTTGTTTCGTGGAATGAACTTTAGATATGTATTTTTCTATAAAATTATGTTACAAATACATAATTATGGTACGCCTGGCAACACTGAGGGCCGGGTTTTTTTAAAAATTACGACAGAAACCCTCGCCCCTACAGGCTCGTGATGTAAAAACACCCCGGCCCTTCGGGCTCGCGCTTTAAAAAAACCCGCCGGTAATACAGATAACTGTAAGCGAAAGATTTATAAAACCAAGTAGGCCTTGAAAACATATATGTGGCTGAGTACGGTAATAGCATCTGCGAGCAAAAATTGACAAATGTCACGTGAATTGACACGTAAAAAAAAAAATCACGTGACGTCCATTTAAATTTGCTCTTTTTATTCGCAGATGCAATTACCAAACTCAGTCTGTATTATACGTTACGATATCGGTATTACAGGGCGCCGAAACTTTGAAATTTTCCAAAGCCTACTTTGTCATTTGTCAAAAAGTGTTGCCAACTACAATTTACAACAAAGATTGTTACAATTGACCTGTCTCGCATAAATAGAAAAAGAAAGCTTAATTGTAATAAATACAAGGTAGAAAGTAATGAAAGATAACATGCGCGCGCAACTTGTAGGTGCAGTGTAGCCAGATTGTATTGTTGCACAACAAATGTAGACAATACAAATCGACATTAACATTAAAGAAGTGATACTTATAGTGTCAAGTTTTTTACAACGCCTTAAATCAGACAAAGGAAGAGCTTAAAAAGTGTATGTTAACATCGTTTGCACTTTTATTTTGATAAATGTTTCATCCGGCAACATCGCACAATGAAATTGCAAAGGAATATGTCAAGTTTAATCTAACATAACCTTAAACGACACTGCGGTGAGTTCAAGTAATATGTAAAGTATTAGTTTGCTCTTGGTCGAATTACACGTTACAAAAAAAGAAGGAACGATTAATTCTGAACTGGCCCCTAAATAAGAATATGACGCACGCCTGTAATAAACTTGCCACTCATTGGACGCTCACCTGCAGCCTACAAGCGACGCGCGCAGTCCAGGTAATAGGAGATCGGTCTATTACTGAGGCTTAACAATAAATTTTAAATTTTCCATAGTAAGTATTTTTTAAACATCGGCAACACTGTTGGGCAAAATGTCCTATATCACGTTATTGACAAGCAACAAAATCAAAAACTAAGTAGGCCTTGGGAGCAACTCTGGTTTCAATCGACGTGGTAATACAGATAACTGTAAACGAAAGATTTATCAAACCAAGTAGGCCTTGAAAACATGTATTACGATCTTTGAATATAAAACTACAGGAAGACTATCTGTCACTACAGACAACGCAGGTACGGAAACGGCCATTTTGAGCCTCCAAGTATGGACTCATCATTTGTTTTGGTGATTCGCTGTGTCCTCATTCAAGTGGATGTTTAATGGATTTTAGCTGTTTTAAGTGACGATAAGTACTGGAATTAGTGAGAAAAGAGTGTCATAATATTGATCATATTTAAATAAATATACGCCACTGCCAAACCGGAAATACTAGTCGGCCATATGCAACCTCCACATATTTTGGTCGCGCAGATTCGAAGTTATGCTCCTTAGTTTTATATTCAAAGATTACGATTAAGGATGATACACACTACACACTACTACTACAGGATAGCCTATCTACATAAGACCTATGTGTAACAAATCCCCCCCTTCTCCCTTCACGCCCTGACGTAGGCTGTTTAAACAGCTGACGACTGAGTTATGACGTCGACAATGGTAACACACCAATATGGCGGCAATTACCAAAAATTATTTTTGGATAGTATATTTGTCTTTGTTTGATACATTTAGATTTATTTTCTCTCTGATGATTTTAAATGAAAAAAACTACAATAATTCAAATTACCCGCCATTTAATTTGCGTCATTAACACGATGGAGAAGGCACCCCTTGAATAATACAGTTTCTTAAGGAATTAAATGTATTTGATAACGCTGTGTATATTGAGACGTTGTCAAATCGCTTGTGTACATGATTTTTTAAATTAACTATAGACTGTAATTTGTCAAAATGTAATACAAATGACATATAGTTGATTCCATGGCCTTCTTTGTCGAATCGAGTTTCGAAACAACTTACAAAATTTTGGAAAAAACGAGACTGATAAGCACTTCCTAGAGTGTGTATTCTCCTTGTATTATGATATCGGTATTACAGGACGCCAAATTCAAACTTTGAAATTTTCCAAAGCCTACTTTGTCGTTTGTCAAACAGTGTTGCCAACTACAATTTACAACAAACATTGTTCAGTTAAGTTCGACAATTAAAAAAAAAATAAAATTCAAGCAGGCCTTGCAAATTTCTAATTTTTCATAGTAAATATTTTTTAAATATCGGAACACTTTTGGGCAATGTCAAATATCATATTTTTGACAAACGACAAGATTACTTGTCAAAAACTAAGTGGGTCATGAAGCAATCCTGGTTTTAATCGTTGTCGGTAATATTACAAGACCTACTTTATGAAACGTCAAAATGTTTGGACGTTTGTACTAGGGTTGCTACATTTGCCAGGGTTGCTACATTTTTAATTTAATGGTAATTATCGAAAATTGGGGTCCCAAAAGGTTAGAAAGATGTCATTTCGATGTTAGTTGTCAGAGAAAACAAGGCTTACTTTGAAACGTCAGTTTCTTGACATTTGTTGTGCTGTGCTAGAGCCGTTTCTGCCATATTTTTTTTCAAATCGCGAGCCCGCAGGGCGAGGGTATTTTTAATTGCGAGCCCGAAGGGTTGAGGTCATTTTAAATCACGAGCTCGAAAATCGAGAGTTTTTCTAATTACGAGTCTGTAGGGCCAGATCAGTAATTTACAATATTCCTAGGTTTATAGTTTTTGAGCAAATTGAGTTTGAAGTTTTTGCAAAATTTGGAATAAAAATCAACTTTGAGGCTCGATTACTCAAAAACTATTCAAGCTATTAAACTCAATTTTGCACGAATTTATAGAGCATCTATTGCTCTTTCCAATAGTATATAATTTATTTCAATTTGCTCGAAATTTAACAAAGATATGGGCAATTGGTTGTGAACATGTGAAGATTTTGAAAATTTTCTACAGCTAAAAATAAGATTTCCTTTTTATTTTTGTTTCTGTTTGAAATGATCATTTGAAAATAATATCAGGGTTGTTTTCCACTAATTTTGGCCCGCTATATCGATTGGTAAAGTCAAAATTGAGCAAAACTGAAAAATAAAAAAATAGAGTTTTCCATAAGGGTACCTACCCCTTTGAATTCTGATTTCAAAATATTCAAACCTCAATTGCTCGGTAACCGTTG